CAAACGATGTTGAGGTCCATGCTGAGGATGTCCAAGAACGTGCAGTAAACCACCACAGTCAGCTTGTCGATGCCCAAAGATTTACTGGTGGGTGTCAAACGGAGGGCTTTCAAGAACTTCACCAGAGCAGCAGAAGCTCCGGTCAGCCTCCCCTGCACTGACCATAAAAAGTTCATCCCACAGGATCTCAGAAGTGTGGGTTGGAAGTGGGGAGAAAAGGTTGGCCTAGAAAGCCGTCATCTTTTCCTGCCTCCACTTGATCTGTAAGAGGATTGCTGTCCTCTGCCAAGAGGCCAGTGATGTGCTGTTGGGCAGCCCCCTTCTCCAGGGCATAGAAGATCCACAAAGAGCCTGATGCACAATCAAATGAAGGGGCACAGCCTCATCATGGGCCTGGAGTTCATCCTCCCCCTCTTCTGACTCCCTGCAGAGGGAGGGATCCCCCAAACCTACATGGCAACAGCCAGGGCTTTTTTGTAGGTACATGGCCCCCATCTCAACATCCCACAGCCTTCAATGTATATATATCATTACATCCTTGTGACTGTCCCCATGTTACAGATGAGGCTGAGGCTCAAAGACACTGACCTGCCCAAGGCTGTGGCTGAGCAGAGAATTGAATCTAGGTCTCTTGCATCCCAGGCAAGCAGCCTAACCACTGGGCCACCCTTCCTCACACGGATGCTGCAACAGACTTGTCACCATGGACCTTGGCAACCTGGGTCAGAATTCTGCAGCAATCCAGCAGATTCCTTACCACTCATTGCAGGCAGCTGGAGATTTTTCAGCAGCTTTGCCTGTGTTTAAAAATGGCTGGTTTTAATGCACTGAATTTGAACATGAATTGTAGGCTCAGGAATGCAGCCTCTGGCGTTATTCTGACAGTAAAAGCGATTTATTTTTATACTGGTCTCATGGTTTATATTTTGGTGCCTGCAGATTTCTGCACTAGCAACATATTGCTGCACCTAGTATAAACTAGAAACTTTTGTATCTGGGGCTTTTAGCACCTGGAGAGGTGCCTGAAAAGGCACTGAAAGCAATTAGGGAAAGCTGCAGAAGCACATCAGCTGGACGTGTCTGCAAAAGTGATTGGCAGTGAAATTGTTAACAATGTGGCCTTTCACATTTAGGTTTCAGTTAGCTGAATGGGACAGTTCATGCCTCTTAGAGCGATTGTTTTAGAGTTGGTTTGTTTTCAAAGTTTAATGAAACCTTAGGCCTAATCTACACTAGAAAACTGGGTCAGCCTACCTACCTCCCTGAGGGATGTGAAAAAACCACATCCCTGAACGGAATTCTCTGGCCCCTGAAGCACTAAGTACACGTAGGCCTGCTAATAGCACTTAGCTTGTCTCGGCACTTTAGCACGCCTGGTTCCTCTCCCCCTCAGTCCTGCCTGGCCTCTCTTCCTGCTATTCTAGTCTGAAATAAAGTCCTGCAAAATACACTGAGATTCCTAAACTCATTTCACATGCACTATTTTATAGTCAGCTTTGAACATGATCACCCATGGCCTGTCAAAACCCACAGCAACAACCCAGCTCCTACACGTGACCTCTTCAATACAAGCTGCCCCAAAACAAATAAGGTTCTTTCAGTGGCATTTCCCTGTGGTGCTACAGTACAGTAACCGTGCGGTTTTGGATCAGGAAGCAGCATACTCAAAACATGCTAGATTCCCCAGATTTGGTGCTCCCAACTGCATAAGGGCAGAGAAGAGACTTCTATTTGGGTGTGTCTACACTGCAGAGCTTACCTCAAAATAAGCTACACAAATTGAGCTATGTCAAAATAGAGCACTCCTCCTCTGACTTCCCTTACTCCTCATAAAATGCGGGTTATAGGAGTCAGAGTAAGAAGTCCTCCAGTTTGAAAGTATTTTGACACTATTTTGAATAATTGCCTCGAGTGGACGCAAACTAAGTTATTTCGGAATAGCGCTAGTTATTTCGAAATAGTGTTGAAGTGTAGACAAAGTGTACCCTTTGTTACCTACCAGTGAAAACATTCAGTTATGGAGAAAGTAATCATGTCTTTCCAAGTGCTGCAATAAATAGCAATCTGATAGTGACATAACACAGCACTAGACAGGATTTTGGGAAGTAATTCATGTTGGTCTACCTCTGCTCCCGCTTGAAGTCAAGGGGAATTTGACCACTGACTTCAATAGGAATAGATGTAGGCCAATGCCACAGTTTTGATCTCATCGAAAGTATTTTCTTTGCAGAAAGGGTCCAATCACAGGCAACCCACTGCCCTGAAAGTGATTTCTGAGCAAATGTTATTCAGTGTGTCACATCGTAAGCCTCCGTTGGGCACAATGCAATTGGAACATTCTGTGTTTAGTTTCTTAGGAAATGGCAGGTGTGTGTTATGTAGAAAGGACAGTGACTCCTGTTAAAAGGCAGACGCTGATGCAACCTGGATCTACATAACACTATTGTGTTTTTCAGCAAAACAAAATAATTGGTTTCACACCAGCTGGAGTGATGCACCAGGTCCATAAATCGTCCTGTTTTCAACCACACTGCATCATGGGAAGTGAATGATATGACAGGTGTATCTATGCATATGTTTCAATCACGTGGCCAGTACCTTATATACCTTCAAACCTCCAGAAATGTGCAGAGGCAGAATGCACACTACAAAGGAGACCTGCGAACCTCTTGCACTCTCATGGGACTTTAAGGAAAACAACAAAAAAATAAAAAAAGATCTAAAATTAAAATTAGACCTAATAATAAAGTTATTTATTAGTTCCCATAATAGAAGAACTAGAGGACACCAAATGAAATTAATGGGTAGCAGGTTTAAAACTAATAAAAGAAAGTTCTTCTTCACACAGTGTGTAGTCAACATGTGGAACTCCTTGCCAGAGGAGGCTGTGAAGGCTAGGACTATAATAGAGTTTAAAGAGAAGCTAGATAATTTCATGGAGGTTAGGTCCATAAAAGGCTATTAGCCAGGGGATAAAATGGAGTCCTTGGCCTCTGTTGGTCAGAAGCTGGAGAGAGATGGCAGGAGACAAATTGCTGGATCATTGTCTTCGGTCCACCCTCTCTGGGGCACTTGGTGCTGGCCACTGTCGGCAGACAGGATACTGGGCTAGATGGACCTATGGTCTGACCCAGTACGGCCGTTCTTATGTTTTTATGACTTGGAGTGTAGGGTCACTCTTGGATGGAAAAAAACTAGCAGCTATCATGCAGAATGACTCTTCAAGGCAGGTCTGGGCTTAGTCGGCCAACAGTTAGGGTTGCCAGATGGTTTCAGAAAAAATACAGAAATAAAAAAAGGGACCCCGAGAGTTAAGCAAACCCACCCTCTCCCCAAAAAAAATAAAAATAAAATAAAAAAAACACAATAAAAAAAGCATTGCCCCTTTAAGAATTGTGTGGTGAGGCTTTTTGGCCCTAACGGGCTGCTGGCAGCCGGCCGCCATCTTGCTTCCCTGCGCGGAGCTGGACAGCTCCCCTGCGGAACCCGGTAAGCACTAGGGTTGCCAGGCTGCTTCCGTATTGAGCTGGACAGCCCAGGATTTTCACCTCCTGCCAGGAAAAAAAAAAAAAATCAGGAAGTACCGGACATTTTAGGTGTTGGGTATTTTCTGAACTTTTTTACTGGACAGGAGGCAAAAATACCAAACTGTCTGGTTCGATACCGGACACCTGGCAACCCTATCAACAGTATGCGGCCACTGACACTCAACTAGGCATCTCATTCTTAGCTCTCGTGACCACTGTTGTTACAAAAACTTCAGCACACTGTAAGAGCACAGCTCTTGGATGGCTCAAATTGAACCCAGACAAAACCAAAGTGATGCTGGGTGGAAAAGAGAAATCCTTCATAGAGCTGGCCTAGTCACTATCTCCAGTCACTTCTACTGAAGGCTCACAACCCCCTTTGAGCAAAGTGGTGCAGGCCTCCGGATGCTATTTGCCTCCTGGCTAAGGTTGGCTAACCAGATAGCAGGAGTTTTTAAAAATGCCTTCCTTACCTCCAGTTTGCTAGGAAACCTCATCCCTGATGAGGACCTGGCCCCAGGAATCCAGGCATTTGCAGCTCCGGGTTGGGTAACAGTAATTCTTTGCGTCTGAAGCTGATTATGAAGAGGATGTACAGGCTTCCTGAACTGCAAGCACATCAGGCATGTGTTCAGGTTACTCCAGCAGTTCCCAGTCAGTTTCCGATGTGTCAGTTTAAGGGCCAAGTCCTCACTTTCAAGGCAATTCATCGATCCAGCTCTAGCTCCAACTCAAGACCAAATTTCCACCTGTGAACCACCATGGCAGTTGCATTCCTCTTGGACAATGCAGCTCCCACAGCTCAGGACACAGCTTTCTTTAATATGAGGAGCCTGCTAAGGAATGAGGAGAGCAGGCAAATTCAGACTGTAGCTGACCTGTGTTGCAAAGCCTTGCTCTTCGAGAAAGAAACTCCTTTTTGTAAGGCTCATAAATCAAACATCCTGCTTATACCCAAGCCTCCAACACCCACCCCAAAAACAGAAAAGGAAGAACCCCAAACCTACTCCAAACAGAATTTTGACCTCTAAAAAAGGAGATTTGCCAGGCACTCCATGCAGTCCACCCAAGGTTTCACTACTGATTTTATGTGGAAGGGGCTCAGCCGCTCCAGCGATGGGCGGCAGACCAAGGCAGGTAAGTGTTCAGATATGCATTATTCCTATAGCTTTATGTAAAGAGGACCTAGCCATCGACTGTTAGGTACAGGGGATTTGTCAACTGCGTCTCTCCCTAGTGTAGAGAGACCTGTCTTCAGAGCCTTCTATTGCCCACAAAGCCAAGTTCAGTATTAAGATTTTTTCTAGACCTAGCAAACATTTGTCCCCATCAAACCTGGCAGCGTCAGCTCAGCAATGGAGCAAAAAAGAGGGATGTTAGAAGTGATGCGAACTGCAATCAGACAGCAAATAACAACGAACATTCTCGCTAGGATAAGTTACTGTGGGTCAGAAAAACACAATGCACCTTTTATTTTAAATTCAGTTTTACTATATAAAAGTGCACAGCTTAAAAGTACATCCAGGCCCTAGACAAGACATGCATGTATAGAGTCATTTCAGCGTTTCCCGTCAGTTCATGTAACAAAAAACCACAGACATAAATTCAACCACTAGAACAAAGGATATTTTTGTAAGAACAAAATACAGTGCATTCACAGTTCTTATCTACCACACACAAGACGGGGTAAGTGCATCCCTGAATAGTTATAAACACTGGAATTATTTCAGAACAACAATCAGCCATTAACAAGAGTCTTCCTAGAAGTTGGCCTTTATGGCTTGAAATTGCACCATCCAGCAGCTCAATTATTTATCCTCCCTTGCTGGAAAATACACAGAGAACTAGGTTTGAAGCCAGAATCCAGTGGGTTTCCTTAGTATGGGAGAGGAGCTTTTGAGTATTATAAAGATTCTTTGAGTCAGATCACCAACTAGTATAAACTGACACAGTTCCAAAAACTCCAATGATGATTTAACACCAACCCAGGATTGGGCCGTAACATTTGAATTTGCGTTGGGAGAAAAGAAATGTTGCTAATTTAAAGTTAACTTTATGGAGCAATGACTCAAATGATTATTTATGTGTGAGGTATAACAGCTGCTTTTCAGCACACCCCCAGCCCCATCCTCCTACAATCTGGGATCAGAAACCTGGTGGAGATCAAAATAATTTAGTCTTATGAAATTTCTGAAATTCACTGCCACCCAGCCAAAAAGTCAATCTTTAAATTGTTTTAGCAGGGCTGGAAGGAGAGATTGAAAAGTTGCCCTGAAAGTGAGAGGAAAAAGATGTCTTAAATTGCACCGACTGCATGAAATAATGGGTTTTAAAAACAGGAAAGCCTGTTGGAGGGCTGAAATTTGTCTTAAATTTGCTTTTTATTTCCCACTGTTTAATACTTTCACAGCTTCAAGCCTCTGTCCCCTACTGATTGTCCTTTTCTATCTGGCACATGAGGAAATGCAAGGGAGAAAGATGATTAACTGCTGCAGACCCATAGTGGGAGCTCACAGCTTTGTTCCTGTGTGATTCCAGCAAAAATCATGGCTATAGTTTCACAGGAAGAGTGCAACGGCCAAATTCTGAGCCTAACCTGCTGACAGCGGCCTTGCAGGAACTAGATCATGATGCCAGGCGAACACTGTCTAAACAAGATGCCAAGAATGCCACGTGTGAAAACACAAAGAAGCTGCAGATGGGTTTATGGCGATTTTATCTTGCACGACAGCCACAATGGTCAGAAGTACTGCTCTTCTAATCTAACAGGTTAAGCAGAGCAAGAGACTTATTTGAGGTGATAAAATACACCCACAAGCAAAGCCGACCCTCCACATAAAATAGGATACAGCATCAAAGGTTAAAGTGCACAGGTGACTCCAAATGCAGTGGAAAGCGTGCTCTTGTTTTTGGCTTGGACGTCTCACCCTGGACCTTTCATAAGTGCTAAAGCTTTCCCTTCGCTCTGCCATACAGTGGCCTGACGGAGCGGACTGCTATTTCCAGCACCGTTTCAGACACAAGCATGCACCTCCAGGCTCAGAAACAGCCTAACCCCGTTTTCTGGGGCACCCCTAGCAAGCAGCATGACTAGCAGGCAGATTTGCAGCAAGGGAATTTTAAAGGGAATGAACAAAGTGTGCAAGACTTGGGTGTGCAAGACTTAGGTATCCAAAGAAGGGGCTTGGTTCTCAGAGGTGCACAACAAAACCTGGGGCTGTATTTTCCTGACAGAATTTCTCATTGTGTCAGTTTCCTCACCCCGTGTGTAATGGCTGGGGGTGGGGGGGGATGCTGTTCACTTAAACATTTCCATGAGGACAGCCCGTACCCGTTCGTACGTTATCGGCATTGTGCCAACAGCTTGTGGAGGACCAGAGACAGACGAGAGCCTTAGTAGCTGCAGAGCCTGGGCATCCGTCTCCGCTAAGGTGAGTCAGAGGAAGCCCCCGGCAGGAGATGCCAGGCTGTAACTGAGAGGATATGGCAGGGGTGGTGGCACTGGGTAGAAGAGCATTGTCATATTCATAGGGGCGGTCATGCCAGCCTTATGAGTCAGGTTTGGCTATGGGAAGAGCATCCTGCCTCCCCTTTGGAAGCTCTGCTGTAAGGCTTACAGGTGTTACGACCTTAGCAAATGGGGCAAATCCTACAGGGCTTATTTTGGGCTGGCCTGGGGCCATGAGCCTGCATTTGGGGAGAGGTGGGAGTGACTGTACAGGGGCAGCAGCAGCACCCTGTGCGGGCGCGGGGCATCCTTCCAAATAGAGCAGCCTACCTGTAGCCCAGGCAGGACCTGCAGCCCTTCCCCCGCTGCGTCGGAGCCAGAGCCCACAGCAACTTGCACCCCCCGACGGGAGAAGAACAGAAATTGTTCCTGGTACTTGAGCAGCAAAGCTGGAGCAGAGGGATGAAGAGGACGACAGAGAGTTCTTTGCACCCTTTCCTCCACATGCCGGTTTAGGAACCATCTGCTCCTCGGTCTTTCCTCAGGTTCATCGCTCCTGCTGGGCTTAGTATTTGCAGAAGTGAAGTTGCTGCAGCCTGGCTCAGGGGCAGAGAAATAACTGAGCAGCCCCGGGAAAGGCTCAGGGTAGCTGTTACTGTTTAGGGCACAAGGAAACAGCATTGGATTGTCCCTAGGAAATAACTTAGTGTCAGGGGCTGTGTCTTAATAGAGCCAAACAGGAGGGGCCCGATCCTGAGAGAAGCTGAGCACACTGCCCTCTGTGAAGTCAACCAGAGCTCAGGGTGCTCAGCATTTCAGGCCCACGCTGCTGAAACAGGAATCTGGCTGCACCCAGGGGGAATGTTTAAGTCAAATCTTCAGACTCCCGGGTGCACGGCGCCCAGCCCCTACACGCAGTCCAGCCCACAGACGCGTGGCATTTGGTTTTAAACTCCCACGTCCGGGAATACGTTGGGCTTTCGGCCCGGCATAGAGAGCAAAGGCCTCTGCCCTCAAGCTACATTCAAGCTGCATTTCTCTGCCCTCCCCACCCCAGTGACAGTGCCTCCCAGTCTGACCAGAGAACGGTTCTCTCCCACCACTCCCCACCCAAGTTTCATACTGGGCCCTTTCTGAAGAGGCTGGGAAACGGCCAGGATTTTACCCTGCGGTGGCCAAGCAGTCAGCCCCGATCCCATGTGTCTAACAGAGCGGCCGCTGACATCTTCTAGTTGTTCCAAAGGCTCAGGGACCAGACACTGAGTTTCCATGAACCCGAGAGGTATTTGCAGTGTAGATGTCTAATCCAGGCCTCTGGCGTCATCCCTGCCTCTGACTCTAGAGCCGACCCAGAGCCAGTGCTCGGAGAGCATCATTCAGGCCACCGCACGTGGGAAACGTTTGCGCTGGCTTAGGCCAGCTGGCTTTCACTGTTTTCAGCACGGGGAGAACCAACCGCAATGATGCGACAGAAACCAGCCCCTCGCACCCATCTAAGGAGAAGCCTCTAGGGCCAGCAATGCCTAGCAGGGGAGGCCTCATTTTAGAGCTCACACAAAACAAGGCTGGGGCCACGTCCATGGTTGGTGAGAGCGGGGGCAACGCCGCTGTCTTCAGGGGTGCTGCGCCTGCTTGCGCCAACCACGAATCTGGGCCTCTGACTCAGTCAGGAGCCTGCTCCAGGCCGGGTGCACTGGACACCACTCCCCTGCTTAGCTCTCAACACAGAATGCAACCGGGGCTGTGATGAAATGCAGCTACCGAGGGCCAACTCCTGTTCCCACGTCAGTTAGTGGAAGCAGGAGGAGGCCCCGTTACTAGGACAGTAACGAGTGCTGGGGGAGAGAAGGTTGCCCTGGGTCAATTGGCTCTCCAGGAACTGTGGGCGGACGCCCGGGAGGGCTTTTCCATTCTGTCTTCTATTTGATGTTTTTGAGCAGTGCTGTCCGCGCATTCACGACAGCTTTGAAGGCATCCTCGCTGCCAGGAGCCACGCACTTGTCTGGATGGAGCAGCACAGCCAGCTTCCGATAGGCTTTGTTCACCTCGTCCCTACGAGAGACGAGACAATCATCAGCAAGAGGATGACGTCCGGAGTCCTTCCTTTCTGTCCCGGCTGCCGTGCTCAGGAGACAGGCTCTGCGTAGGGACAGGGGAAGAGAAGGCCCATTCTAACCATCCCCCCTTCTGACTCTTTGCAGTTGCTCATCAACTTCCAACCCTTTCCCCTTTCAGGCGGGACTGTTCCAGGCTTGGACTGTGCCAAATGTAAAAGATGATGGGAAGCTATGAAAAAGTATGCTGGCCACTTCTCAGCACAAGCAGGAAAAAAAAAAAAAAAAAAACTCAAACAGGTAGAAAAAACACAGCAGGGAAAATACTTCCACACTTTCCCAGTACAAATACATTCTTCCCAACTGTTTGCGAACAGCTCTCCAGCCACACCGGCTGTGCTTTGCAAACTGAGTTTTGGCAAGCAAGTGACCCTTCTGGAGGAGCAGCACATGGCTTTGCTCAAAAGGAACTTGGGTTTGATTTAGGGGCTTTGACTATTTTGGGCTTTGTACAGCGCATGTGCAGATGTTTCTGCAAAGAGAGGACCAGCGCAGGCCCCAGGAATTATGAGGTGGACAGGCCTTGGGCTGCACTCTATTTGCATGCAGAGAAGATGATACTGTGTTGTGTGCTGGAGGGGTGAGCGCACTTAGTTTCACAGCAAAGCTCCTAGTCACCTCACTTCACAGGGGTCAGCTGATAGGGAAGAGTTCTAGTGGATCAAGTGAAATCAGAAATCCTTTTACCATTGGTTTCTCCTGGCTCTTGCGTGGTTGCGGTGAGCACTGCCTTTCCCAGCTACAGAGTTACTAATTTGTGCAGGAGGGTACATCTCCTGGCTGGTGGCAGATCCTGAACTCTGCCAGAGCAGAAGCAACTTGGAGGGGTCATTTGCAGCTTGAAGGTGTAACAGTGCAGCCCATTTTCTTCTGGGACAGACTAAATAATCCATTTTGCTTTTTGATACTGAATGCACAAACATTTGCTGAGCCTCCCAGAACCCTTCTGAGGTAGCTAGTCTAGGAATTTCAGGTAGGGAATGGAGACAGAGGTTAGCTGACTGGTTCAGGCCACTCAGCAGAAACAGGAATCCCAATTTTGTTAATCTCCTAATCTAATCACTTGCACTACTCTGTGGGACCAGTGCTAATGAACACTTCCAACCAGCAGTCAGCCCTCTTTAGGAAGACAGGGAAAGTCTTTTTTTTGGGGAAAAAAAACCAAACAAACAGCAATTTGCCCAGAAAAAAAGCATTGTGATAGCAATTCCTTGCTGTGAGGTATGTGGAGAAACCAGCAGCTTTATGGCAGCACAAAAATTTCCCAACAGCCAGGGAGCAAGAGAAAGCTAATGTTTCATCTGTATAAATCTTAATCTCTTTCTCCTGCAAAGATCATAAGGCCCGACAAAGCAGCACCAAGAAAGGGCAACAGATTGTAGACTTGACAGCTGCACAGAGTTATAAGGTTTGTATCTGTTACAGTGCTTTTCTCATCCACAGATCCAAACCGCTTGACAATGGAGGCAAATGTAACAATCCCCATTTTAACAGATGGGAAAAACAAGGTACAGAGAAGCAAAGTGACTTGCCTAAGGTCACCTAACAAGCTAGTGGCAGAGCCTGGAATAGACTCTTCTGGTCTCCTGAATCTCAGTCCAGTCCCCTGCCTGCTGGATCACACTATCTTCTGGTTACGTCTCTCTGATCTGACATGTAGCAAGACAGGTGAAGCTTTATCTTTGGAGCACTGTATCTCACCACTGGTATTACTCTGTAGCAATGGCAGGAACAGCCTTGCTGGTTTTAGTATTATAAAATGTACAAGTCCTCAGCACCAGCTGCAAGTATTGGACTTAACACACACAAATCCACAAGCTGGATGACCAGCATTACATCATCACAGGGGAAGGTCTGACAGTGCTACCTAGCACTTCTAAGGTGGCAAGGTATTCTCCATAGGAGGATCTTGAAGGGATTTACAAGTTTTAAAAAGTCTCAGAGGGGTAGATGTGTTAGTCTGTAACTTTAAAAGCAACGAGGAGTCCTTTTAGGGGGTGTCTACCCTGCAGAGCATAACTTGAAATAAGCTACACAAACTGAGCTACATCAACTGTGTATCTTATTTCGAAATGGGAAGTGTCTACACAGCACTTATTTCAAAGCAGAGCACCCTTCCTCCGACTTCACTTATTCCTCGTACAATGAGGGTTACAGGAGTCAGAATAAGAAGTCCTCCAACTTGACAGTATTTTGACACTATTTCGAAATAACTGCCTCCTGTGGAGACGTGGACTAAGTTATTTCGAAATAATGTTGCAGTGTAGAGGTACCCTTAGAGACTAACGTAAAAATATATATACAGGCAGTCCCCGAGTTACGCGGATCCGACTTATGTCGGATCCGCAGTTACGAACAGGGCCCTTCCTCTCCCTGGTCTCCAGCAGACCAGGGAGAGGAAGCAAAGCGGCGAACAC